TGCGATATTCAGTCACGTTTAACTTTTTTGAACACTGTGACTTTCCAGTTTCGAAAACCATGAAGACCATCAGTTATGTCTGCCATCATTTTTACCTCACGGAATCGCGCATATCGCTTTACAAAACATATGTATTGCCGTATGTGGAGTACTGTTCAATGGTACAGTCTAATCTGCGGAAATCTGACCAGCACGCTCTTGTGAGGGTCCAGAGACGCTTCACGAAAAAGCTATGTGGATATTCCTCAAACTTGACATACAGGGAGCGATGTGATAAAGTTGGATTTGACCCAGTTTGGCTTCGGATAATGAAGCTGAACCTATCTTTTCTTTACAGAATCATAAATGGTCAAATTCGCAGTCTTGAAAACGGTGTTCACATATCTTTAAACAGCAGATATCCAATACGAAACAAAGAGATAGAGGCCGTGATTCCAAAGTTTACAACGAGAATCAGAGAACTTTTCTTTCTAACCCAATACTCAAAGATTTGGAACAAACTTCCAAGTGATATCATAACATGCTATACACTTTGCAATTTTAAACCTGCGATTAGTAAGCATTTAACCGTTCAAAACGTGATTAAGATGTTCGGGACATCACAGTCCCTAGATAACGCATTAGAAAACCGTATCCATGGTGCCTGAATAAATTTCCGAAACACATACACATAACATTTCGGACAACAGCCCCTTTCATTACATTTCTGTTTCTTCTCGGCCCAAATATCTGTCATGTGATTATGAAGAGTCCTGATTCAATGGCAGGAAAAAAATGACAGAACGATTCTGATTACTCTGTGTTACCTAATTTGCAATTGCGTCCATGTTTATCTCTGAAAATGTATTAATGAAATGTCATGGAAAAGTTGTACCGTCATTTGATCTGTTCCTTCTAGGGAACAGCTTCTCGCATCATCGAGGAATATACAATTTATTTATTTATTTATAGTGAGCTAAGAGGGATGGGGTGGGACAAAGAAACTCACAATACCAACGCGACTAAAGTCGGCTCCTAGCCATATCAACAAGTGTATCCAGCCAAACGTGTTCATCGTCTTTCGGAACCCAACCGGGGTGCCGAGACGCTCCGTCTGAGGCCAGCTTCAAAGTCAGGGCCTTCCTTCCTGTCGACCAAGTCATCGCTTGGCCACCTCTCCTCTTCTTCCATCCACACCCCCGGCGCGCACACAACGCACGTCGCGGGAGTTGGTGGGCTGACATGCGTAACACGTGGCCGATCGTGAGCCTCCCTTGAAAGCTGGGACTATGACGGAGCGGCTCCAGTCGGTTGGAACAGTTTCCTGCTCACACAGTTTGACTAGTAACTCGTATAAATCATCCACAAGAGCAGGTCTCCCTCATCTGAAGAGAGCTGGAGGAAGATCATCTGGTCCGGCCTGATGCGTGAACCACGAAGCGATCTCCAGTATCTCGTTGGGTAGCCGTTGCTTTCGACACACGTTTTTACTAAATCGAGACACACATCCGCCTTCGCGATCCTAGCAGTAGAGGCACAGTTCGAAAACTTCTACACACAGACTTCTCAACTAATCCCATATTCTGACGTGCCTGCAAAAGAGTTGAAGTCCCTGTTGCTGCATGCCTGTTGTCAATATCGGCGTGCACACGTATCGCACAACACCCCAGTGAAACATGAGCATATGTAAGCACTGCAGCGACTACTTAGCAACGATCGATTTCTGCTTACCTTTCCAGACAAAGGCGCCGGCGTTATTATCCTAAACAGAGCAGACTACCTCAACACGCACATACCATACACGTTAGCTAGAGGTGGGAAACTCCTCAGCTACTGTGCCGCAATACCTAAAATAAAAAAGAGAATAAAATGCAACAGGTGCAAGCCAGCTGAGCTACCGGTAACGGATGGGCATCGTTCCGGTAAGCTGCGTGCTGGCTACTATGCAGCAGGAAAAACATAATTTACTATGTAAAATTATAAAATGCTAAATAATGAGATCGTGGTTGGAGAAGGAGGCTAAGAGGATTGGGGTGGGACAAAGAAACTCACAGCACGAACGCCACTGAGGCCGGCTTCTAGCCATATCAGCAAGTGTATCCAGCCAAACGAGTTCATCGTCTTTCGGATCCCAACCGGGGTGCCGAGACGCTACAACTGAGGCCAGCTTCGAAGTCAGGGCCTTCCTTCCTCTCGGCCAAGTCATCGCTTGGCCACCTCTCCTCCTCTTCCATCCACACCCCCGGCGCGCAAACAACGCACGTCGCGGGAGTTGGTGGGCTGACATGCGTAACACGTGGCCAAGCCATCTGAGCCTGGTGCGTGAAATAACGGTGCTGAGCGGTTTATTTCCTTCCTCAACAAGATGAGTGAAATATTGGCAGATATTATGAAATTCTTGAAAATGATTGATGTGCGAGACAAAACAATGCAGATCGAAAATCATCTGGGCGTCTGTCTCAAAAAGCCTAGGAATGGTGGTTATAGAAATGAATCGGTTTATGAAAATCAACGCCCCTTCGGCACGGTTATTTCAAGGCTTTACGGCCTTCGCAAAACCCGCAAGCCAACTGTCCTCTTTGTCCGGTTTTGGATATAAGAAACTCCCTAGATCACTCGATTGCTCGTTGGTTGGTGGAACTTCTTGAGCCTGAGGGTAGACGAGTCGCTGTACATACCCTAAAGGATACTTTTGCGTTTGTATATGTCGTGCGTGCTGTCAACGTCACGAACCAAACTATGTGCTCGCTCGATGTCACCTCACTGTTCACGAATGTGTCCTTATTTGAAACGATTGAGTTCATTTGCAACTTTGTTGACGAGAACATTTAATGTTCATTTTCTATTCAACGGGAATATATACCGGCATCATGATGGAGTTGCAATGGCTTCCCGGTAGAACCATTTCTCGCTGATGTCTTCATGCGTATGTTGGAACAGGGTAAATTGAAAGCGGTCATCAGCAGCCTCACGTTATACCACCGTTACGTAGATAACATCTTCGTCCTGCTTGACGCTTCTTGTAACATCGAGGAGCTCACCAGCGTATTTCATTAGGCTCACAAGGCTATACAATTCACCTACGAGATAGAAAAGAGCGGCGCTTTTCATTTTCTCGATGTAGCTTTAAAAAGACTTGATGGTGGTGCAGTACAACGTAGCGTTTACCGGAAGTTCACTTGGAGTGGACAGTACACAAACTTTCATAGCTTTGTGCGGCTTCGGATTTAGAGATACTCGGTCCTCAGTCTCGTGAACCGTGCCGAAGGAATCTGCTCGATGGCTACTCTTTTCGAAGAGTTACAACTCATACGATCGACGCTTAAAGAGAATGGCTACCCAGAAAATTTCATTAGTGCCACTATGGGGCGAAACAGGAAAGCACCTAAGGTCCTGACGGCGGAACGGAAACCTATTTTTCTGCAACTGCCTTACAAAGGGAAGATAGTATCAGAGAATCTATCCCGCCGTCTCTCATCCACACTCTGGAATACCTTCCCAGCGGCGAGGCTGCAAATCCGGTCCACCAACAACCCAATGGTGAGACTAAACCTCAAGCATAAGCTGCCTGTCCACACCAAATCAATGTGTGTTTACTCCTTCACCTGTTCCTGTGAAGCAGGCTACATTGGTCGTACGACAAGACGCTTATCCGAACGGGTGACAGAACACCATCCGGCCTGGCTCAGAAATGGAGGCCAAAAGGCCACCATTTCTGCCATCGCCGCGCATCTTGCGGATACGGGTCACACCACCAAGTCGGCTGATTCGTTCAAAGTAATCTATCAAGCCCCAGAAAATCGATCAAAGTGTTACCGTAAGCGGATATTAGACGCCACAGAAGCCATCGCCATCCGTCTGTCCAAACCAGGGCTATGCAAGCAGAAATGGTTCACTTACGCGTGGAGTCTACCTTGACCAGGACGGACTGCAGTTAATCTGTGCGAGCGTACGACTACAACTGGAATCTTACCGACGGTTTGTCGTAGCGTATTAGAATCAATTTGGCTGACTGACGACCCGTTGGGTCTGTGTACAAATTTTGTTTCTCATGTAGTTGTAAAAGCCTGATGAAGAATTACCGAAAACATATGTTCGCTTCCCGAGACTTTCGATCAATCAATGGGTTTTTCAATTCAATTGTTAGAATGATTTTTTCCCTTCACTCCAAAAACATGCGCGAAAGGGTTAAAGAGCAGAAAGACCAAGAAGTGTTTTAATGCGAGTTTGGTTTGTTTCTCCTGTTCCGATTCCATGGATGCCACCACGTACTCATGGTCGAATAGAGGGAGAAAATTAAACGACTGGTAGTGATTCTCCGGTTTATTCGCTCTTACTACATGTTATCTACATTGTCTTCAAAGAATTCCCCTGTTGCGCTCAGCATACTTGTTACAGTTTTCTTTATAAGGTGCTCCTGTATTTCTCTATCAAACATCCGTAGCGGTGTTTAGTTTGCCTAATATTTTCTAGCACTTTGTTCCCTATTGTGAACAGGCTGTCAGGAAGAATTTCTCCCTTATCCTGGCTCGTTACTTCGGCACAAGGAGCTTCATTGCATTGTTTTTGAATTGCTACCGTCCGCTGATATCTGTATGCTCATTGTTGACTACCAGTTGGGTTCAGACCACCATTCGTGTCTCTGTCATGTGCTGCGCATTTTATGCTAATCCACTGCCTCGGCATATGTTCTCGTCAAACGTCGTGACACGCAATCCCTGATATGGTAAATTTTCGCAGGTCACAGAAAGGTTGCGTCTGGTTGGTGTTTGTCCTCTTTCCCTGCGACGTCCTGGGGATGCTGGCTCTGCTGTCGTCCATATCAGTCAGTGATCCGGCCGCTAGTCTTTATTTTTGGGCACTCCTTGATTATCATTATTATTGATAAAGCCATCATCTTGCTAACTTGAGTCTAGGCAGCTGGGCACATCGAACTCAAACGGAAATGTTTGTATAACCGGAATCACCATTGTATTGCACTGTTACACTGCCCTCTTCGTTGTGGTTTCCCATTGTAACAGGTTTCCGACCGTCTGGTTAATTTCGGTCCCATGGGGATGTTGACTGCTGGGGAGGTGCCTTGCCTAGCACCCGGGAACACTGACCCCACTGATGAAGTTTTGGCCGCAGCTCAAGCCGAACTCCAACATGTAGAGCTACTTGCTTGCGTGCCACGATCTTTTGAAACTGTTTCCGCTCCCGCCGATTCACTACGTGCCGGTGGTGTGCTTATGTTACACACTAGCGTGAGACTCCGTGGTTTGACGGCATTTGAATTACCCGAATACGTAAGCCTGTGGTCACTGTATGGCCCACCAGTCGCATCAATTGTTGCTAACAAGGAGACTAAACGTGAAAACATCCTGGACGATTCTACTATTTCCCAAAAACGAATGCGCACGGAGGAGGTGCCGAATGTTGACGAGGATGGTTGTGCTGATGTTATTGTTAACGATGAGGTCAAAACCGAGGCCGCTTGTGAGGATGGTGTCGCCACTATGGTCCAGCCTGTCGGTGCTGACACAAAAGATGCTCCGATCACTAGTAAGTCAATCTTGACTGTATTAGTCTTGCATGCGTTAACCTGCTCTACTATCATCGGATAACTCAGACTTGTTTGTTTTGTGGCTAACTGCATCTGCTGGCCATCTTGCGGTTATTCCACTTACTGATATAACAGCTATCAATGTCTTAATGAATACTCGACGACAGTTACAAATTTGATTCACTGGGCGCTCTTCGATACTTCTTACACATGATACCATGCTGTAGATGAAATGACATTTGGCGAACCCCTTGGGTGATAACCTATCTGCATACCGTCACATCTATTCTTAATCGTGTGCAAACCGTTCTAACACTTCTTCGAAACCGCTCCAGTGAAAACATACGTTCACCTATCGCGCTGCATCCAGGAGCTTTTTCTCCCAATGTTTCATTTTCCTTTATCTTGTCCCCTGTTCACCTGTGTTTAATGGTACATTTTATTCAGTGCTGTGTTTTTCCCACTTTGTCGTTTTAAACGTGTTTCACTTGCTTTTCCATTCTTGCTGTCTGTCAGATCATGTACTCTCACCTGATGAAGCAGCCACTCAGGCGGCTCCCGATGAGACTGTTGAACCTGAACCGACGGTGATGGGAACATCCAAGATTTCTCGAATTCCGGAAGGTCAGAAGTGTCGTGGACCTACTCACAGCTACTTGCTATTAACACGTGAGGATTCCACCATGGTACGCTCTGTTTGATGAATTTTGTGCTGTGATCTACCTTTGTTTTAACACAGTCAAATATTTCAATGTCTTCAGTTATAGCATCTCTGTTCACACACAAGCACACTTGCGAAATGCTTCATTAAGTCGGATGTTTTTTATACTCCTAATTTTGGTATTTCCAGCAACCCGTAGTTTATTAGTTGAGTTCATAACTTTTATGCATTCTTCCCCATTGGCCATGCTGTTCTCCCGTCATCCTCTTTGGACTGCTTTATATATATATATATATATATATATATATATATATATATATATATGTTATTCTTTGAGGATACAATCAACGAAACATATTTCTAGCTTGGTTTATATATTATCTTCTTCGCAAGTGTGGTCGTTCCAATCCGCCTTGATGCCAGTGTTTATCTTTCTTCTAAGCTGATGAATGACTGAGCCATCACCCTACAAAATGCTGTCCTTTATCTTCGGCACCTCGTCTTAGCATAACACCAGCGTTTATTGTCCGATACTTTTACTTGTGGACGCAAACGGCCATGGGCTTATTTTGTGAGCAGTCACCAGGGTGACAATTTCACACAGAGGACGACTGATTGTGTTTCACATCTTGACTGAGCCATGTTACGTGAAGAAGTCAGCGAGTTGTCCGACAGTCATCCTCTGCTCTGATCGATTTGACTTCCCTTTGAATACTGTCAGCCACTTCTGTCTCATTTACTTCAACTTTCATTAGCTCTCAATTTTCTACGTCAACTTTGCAGAAGTGTTTGTCTGATGCGATTTACCGAAAACAAATATCTTTGCAACATTGTTTTTTAACATTACCTTGGGTATTATCTACGAGATGGCAAAATATCCCTTGAGTAAACGCCAGAACAAATGTCAAAGAACAAGCTCGTTTTCACAGATTCATCATCAGGCTACTACACCATGTACGTATGTCATAAACATAAACAGCAGGTAAGAATACAAGTTCCAAGCCTAAGGTGGTTTGGTGATTGCTCCCACATCGATCAAGATTGTGTGTGCCTAAGTGGTGTTATCCACATCGTGGGTCAGCGTTAAAAGAGCCAGGGTAGAGCAGGTGTCCGGAGAAATATCTTACGTGCACATTGGTCAAGGTCATGGATCCCAATGGCGATAGCTTCTGTCGCTACCACTAGGCGATATTCAACCGCTCTTGTGCGACATTGGCTTCGCTTTGACTTGGTGCTTCCAATCAGCCAACTGCACAGACACTGCTCTAACCACTCGGTTATACGATCAAGCTGGGCGATGCTCTCGGACCATCTGGTAGTTCTTCCGATATATCCTGATCAACACGAACAAGTGAATAAGTATGCACAGAAAGATACACTTAAACTAAGAATCCTGACTTGATTTAGTATTGATACTGTACTGCAACTTAGTTTTAAACTTGCCAGATGTTGATTCCGCCATCTCGTCTCATTTGAACAGTAGCGATAAGTAGACCAGTTTCTTTTTAACTGAAACCAATTCTGCCTTCGTTTCTCGAGGCTCCATATTTCTACGAACGAAATTTTTTGAGCACTCACTCTTCCCTGCCCCCCTTTAAAGCGGACACGGTGTGGATAACACTACACACACACACTTTTGATCGCTTAGCTCAGCTTGGTCACCCAGACCGTTTTAACCTCTAAAATTTTTGCTCGTATCTGTTGTTTACATTTATGTCATTCATTCGTGCTGTTAGCCTGATGATGAACCGCTGAAAACGAGCGTGTTCGCTAACATCCGTTCCGATTTCCCAGATGTTCCGTTTTGTTCTCCATTTTAAGATTTCCACTGATCTTATCTTGCAGAACATTCGCAGTGATAGTATTACTGTTGAACATTCGCTCATTCGAGTACATTGAGTCTATTTTCTCTTGCACATCTATCCAATTTCACCGGTTTGTGGTCCACACGGTACGCGACCTCCATTTCCAGACTTAAGTAACCCAGCGATCTCTTTCAATTCCTCTTTATCTTCAACACTTTCGTTACATCTATACAATCTCCATGATCACCAGTCCATTAGTGCACTTTCTTTTGAGACCGGAACTGGGATTTCACCATTTCTTTCATGATGCCCTAAAGTTTGAGTCAACTTCCGGAATCCGAATAATACCACTCTCCACTGGACGTTTATCGTTCAAGCATAAGTCCAAGTTCGTTATTCTCGCTGTAACTTCTCTGATCCTATTTAGAGCTGTTCAAAAATAGCAACACTGATACTTAGCCCCGTGTTGTCAGATTACAACCGTGTTTTCCAAGTTTTGGTGGATATCACACCAGTTGTATCTTAAATCAGGTTGCGATACTACATTTAAAATCTATCATCGAATCAGGGCAACTGCTCATATGACTTTGGAGCGTGCGAAGTAAAAGTTTGTATCCAACTGTAATCAGTCATCTGGGGCCACTAAGGTGCACAATATATCTCGATTGGAGGCACACTCCTGCTATTAGCTTCCTCTTCCTGCCTCGCACGCCACATCCTGAAGTGCTGTCTTGGCAGCTGCACAGATTTTACCACGATACTTCTTGAATCACACATTTTTCTTTCATCACAGATTCTCGAGGTGGGTCATGAGATCGTCGAACTGGAAGTCAGCGGATTTAACACCACTGAGATGACGGTGGCCGCAGTCAATCTGGGTGACGTGTACATTTCCAAGTCGCATTCATTTGGTGAAGTCACTCCTTTGGTGGAGGACATTGCAAGTCCTACCCCAAGCGTTGTCCAGCTCAACTATGTGTCCACCGAATCCAGTCATTTATCGCAGAGAAAACCACGTGTTGGTCACGATTATCCTTACATCCTCCAGGTAAGTGATTTGTAGTTTTGTTTATCATTGAATGTCACACCTGGTGGTCACATTTGGTTTCTCTGATCACGTGGTTTCGTTCTGTACGTTGATCATTAGTTGGTATATCTCAAACTCAGATTTTTCTCTCGTCAGACTGCATCATGTTCTTCATACCTTCAGAGTACGAAGCAATGTCACTAGACTCCGCCGACTCACCATTAGTTTTCATAAGCACCGATCAGCCGCTCCTCATGCTAAGGTTCATGGTGCATTCATGATGCTTTTTCACCGCAGTTGGGCTAAACCAACTTACACTTAAATTAAATCTTTTTAACCTAGGGAAACATCCTTCCACTTTATTTTGTTTGTTCAATTCTGTTATTCTGCCTCATATTCTGTGAAAAATTTGCGTGTTTGCTTTCCCTTGAATTCTGTGTTAGTTTTTTAATATCTCCGGTGTGGCTTCGATTGATGTGAGAGTTGAGAAGGTGCCTACCTGTCTAACACCCTCCACTTCGATAACTAGCTCCAGGAGACTGAATCGTTGCTGGGTGGGGCGGGGTGCACGGTCCCCGTGACTCTACTAGACTAAAGAGTGGTTTCAACCAATGTGGAGCGGACTACGACCCAGCCACCGCCTTATGTACGTCTGGTACGCGTGATTCCCTACATAGACGGGTAGGAGTGCTGCTGCTGTGTATGTTGAAGGAGTCTGGGCGGGATCCGTTGATGAAACATGGCTCCCATCCACATGTCTCCCCGTCTTATTCATTCGGGTTTACACCGGATATGGGGTGTATGGATGAAGCTGTGGGTGGTGCAGCGCAAGCCACTCATGGTTCCTCTGTAGGCGCATGCGTCCTGTGGCTGTCCTATGGAGGCCGCAGTGACAGGCAAATCCAGAACCGGATGCCGCCAACCAAGCTCAGCTATTAGCAGATTGATCAGTAGTCTGTGTAATCGAACATATGTTTTCGGTAATTCACCATAAGAATTGTACAATTACATGAGAATCAATTTGTGTATTTACCCAACGGATCGTCATTCAGCCACAGTCAGCTCCCCTCTGTAGGCACGGGCTCGCATGGGTCAACTGCAATCCGTCCTGGCTAAAGTAAACTCACCCCGTGAGTGAACCTTTACTGCTTACATATCCGGATGGCGATGGCTTCTGTGGCGTCTAATATCTGCTTACGGTAACACTTTGATCGATTTTCTGGGGCTTGATAGATTACTTTGAACGAATCAGCCGACTTGGTGGTGTGACCCGTATCCGCAAGATGCGCGGCGATGGCAGAGATGGTGGCCTTTTGGCCTCCATTTCCGAGCCAGGCCGGATGGTGTTTTGTCACCCGTTCGGATAAGCGTCTTGTCGTACGACCAATGTAGCCTGCTTCACAGGAACAGGTGAAGGAGTAAACACACATTGATTTGGTGTGGACAGGCAGCTTATCCTTGAGGTTTAGTCTCACCATTGGGTTGTTGGTGGACCGGATTTGCAGCCTCGCCGCTGGGAAGGTATTCCAGAGTGTGGATGAGAGACGGCGGGATAGATTCTCTGATACTCTTTCCCCTTTGTAAGGCAGTTGCAGGAAAATAGGTTTCCGTTCCGCCGTCAGGACCTTAGGTGCTTTCCTGTTTCGCCCCATAGTGGCATTATTAAAATTTTCTGGGTAGCCATTCTCTTTAAGCGTCGATCGTATGAGCTGCAACTCTTCGAAAAGAGTAGCCATCGAGCAGATTCCTTCGGCACGGTTCACGAGACTGAGGATTAAGTATCTCTAAATCCGAAGCCGCACAAAGCTATGAAAGTTTGTGTACTGTCCACTCCAAGTGAACTTCCGGTAAACGCTACGTTGTACTGCACCACCATCAAGTCTTTTTAAAGCTACATCGAGAAAATGAAAAGCACCGTTGTCTTTGACTTCGTCGGTGAACTGTATGGCCTAGTGAGCTCCGTTAAATTCGTTGTTTAGCTCCTCGATGCTGTTAGAGGCGTCAAGTGGGAGAAAGATATAATCTACCTAATGGGGGTCTAAGATAAAACTGCTGATGTCCGCTTTGTGGTGAAATCTACCCCAACTCTACAACTTTCTGGATCTATCGCTCCTCACTTCTGGGATGGTAGTTCGATAATTAAACTAGTCTGACTTGGCTCTGCCTGTTAGCGTTTCTATCTTTGTATCTACAGTCTGAGGCCACTGAGTCTTAAGAAGCCAACTTTGTGGTCTTTTCACGCATCTACTCGGTTTCGTTTCTTGCCCTCTTTATCAACTTCGATGTATTAAATTAAGGCCGTTTCTCACAATAACTGAACTTACCTTTGCCCTTCAGTAGTCGAATGACTGCATTGCCAGTTCAAAGTCGACACGTACATCGCCACCTTCCGATCGCTATTGCTTTCATTCCAAGACGGTACTTAATACGGGACCATTTACAGCACCTTTCGAACTTATTTATTATTGAGACACTTCTCTTATATCACGTTCCAACCTTGCTCGCTCGTTTCCGATAGCTTTTCGAGTTTGGTCGTTTGCAAACCGCTGTGAACCTTTTTCCAACTATCTTCCGAATTTTCTACCCATTTCTCATCCTTCATTATGTGTTATCTCAACACTGCACCCTCTCTACGTTTCGCCACCTATTTGACTAGGTATCACCTACCTCTTTGCGTCTTCTGGATGGTCCTAAATTAATCGAGTACATTCAGGTCACCTTGGAATGGCGTATTCATCTTGCTAGTTGCGCCGACCCTTATGTCCTACTGTGCACAGAAGACGATGAGTTGTTCCTAATCCGACTACGCACGCCTCAGGAGGTGGATGCTTCCCATCCAGTCCCTCGTATCCCGTCGAAAAAGCCGTCGTTTCTGGACCTTCGAGCACTCGTGGATTCTTCCTCCTCTACAACCGAAAGTTCCGCCCCATTCGCCTCAACAGCCCACTTGGAAGTATTCCGCCCAAAAGTTGGACAGGTACGTGTGTGCCAGAGGGACTGTTGTAATTTGGTGATGTTCATCAACCTCTGCCTTTCTGATGTTTCCATATTGCTTGTTTCTCCTGTTAGCGTTTGGTGAAAAATCGCACCTGTCATCCCTACGATTTGTTCCGGCCGGTTTCCCGCCCTCGCTCTTTAGCGATCCTCTAAACAATTTGCATTTCCATATCAATAACAATTATCAATGAATTTTTCATCGCAATACCTTCTTTCCTAGTTTAGTTATGCTCAGTTCCCAGTTCAGCCAACTCGCGCATGTTTTCCTTTCATGGTTCCCACACCGCAGTTCTGTTCGACCACATTCCGGATTGACAACCCTTCTGATGTATTGAAGTGTTGAATTCAGTAGCGTTGTCCCATCCGACCTACTCTTGGCCATCCACTTCTCAACCAGACCGCATTGCCGTTTTAATCACTCTGATTGCTCTACTGTTTCCACTTTACGTTTATTTTTACCACCTTTCACTTTTATGGTCTGATCCGGATTATTAACCAGCGCCGAGGCGCATGTTACTCAGGATTCCAAAGAATACTCTTTTTATCTTATGTCCCAGTTTTGCATGCTTATTTGGAAGCACCTGCCATGTCGACCGAGGATCATCGTTTGTAGATACTTCCTTATCTCGTTGTTCTTTACTCACCAAATATATTTTGTATTTATTCACATGCCTGTAAACAGACAAATGTGCCAACCGAACCATGGTAATAGGGAAAGAAGAATATAATGTTCAACGAGGAGACAGAGAGAGTAAAACGGTAGAAAAATGTTTTTTTTTCGGTTTCACGCACGTCGTTTTGAGTTTGTTTTTGTCTTCATGTTTTGTTCAATATTAAAATGTACAAGATGAACAGATGGTACAACAGCATTGACTCCTATTGTGGGTCATGTCCTCCAAGACTTCCAACCATTGGGAATCCGCTTCACATAGTCCCCAGCCTGGAAGACGCACAGATCCAACTGACGCTAGACACGAAGTTGGAATTTTCATACTCCTTTTTCAGGTCATCGCTTGTTCGCTGCGGCTCTTTCTCCATTCGCGTCCAGAAAGTGCAAATAACACGCGACGTGAAAAGAGGTGGGCCGGCATGCACAGTACGTGACCAAGCCAATGCAAGCGGTGCTAGGTGATTATGCTCTGGAGACCAAGACTGTCCGCTCCCATGATTCTGTTTCTAACTTACGCGTTGCTTACATGGTGCTGCCACCATACGCGAGCAATCGAACGCAAGCAACGGTTATCGAAAATAGACAGTTTTCTCAAACCTTCCGATCGAACAGACCATGTCTCGCAGCCGTATAATGGGACAGCACGAACTGTGGCATTGTACACTCGCCCTTTTAGCTTGAGGTTGACATCGTGACGACGCCACAAGTGTCTCAGCTTAGTAAATGCATGGCGAGCTTTGGCAATTCGTTGTGAAATTTCATCGCCAATACCGCCACCAGCCGTAATGCAATTCCCGAAGTAACTAAGCCTGTTAACGAGCTCCAGGTTGACACTCGAAATGGAGAGCGTAGACACAGGGGTCTGTCGATCCTGGAGCAAAACTTTACACTTAGATGAATCAAAATACAAACCATACTTAGATGCCTCTATCGCTAAGCGGTTCAGAATATTTTGAACAACCTGCGAGTCGTCTCCCAGCAAAGCGATATCATCAACATAGTCCAGGTCCACTACTCTGCTCTCTGGTAGAAGCTCAACGCCGCAGCTCTGGGCTCCTTCCAGTGTGCGATGTAAAACATCTTCGATGACAAAGTTGAAGATGAGCGGCATTCCACTGGTAACAGGGAACGAAGAAGAAAGCCTGCCGTAAGCTCTAACTTTGCCAGAGCTGTGACTACAGCTTTTTCAAGAATATGACAAACTTGTCTGGAACGCCTTTCCGTGGTAGACAGTTCCTCAGTGGCGGCTCGGATATCCAAAAACACCACCATTGTTGGTTTTCGGTGGACATGACGATTTTCGAGAATTTGATACAACATGAAAATTTGGTCAATGCAACTACGGACAGAACGAAAGCTAGCCTGTAACTCACGACACAAACTCTCGCTGGTAACTGAGATCCTACGCAGCAGAATGGACACAAAAGCTTGGACGCGACAGAAGTAAGTGAGCTTCCTCGGTAGTTGGTACATTCAATACGAGAGCCATTCTTGTGGATCGGAACCACAACAGATTCTCCCCGTGTGTTAGCCATCTTTCCATCGCTCCATACTTTTGTGAACAGTGATGGAATTTCGGTGACAACTAAGTTCCCTCCATCTTTGAATAAGACCGGGGGAAGACTCTCAAGGCCCGGAGCTTTGTGGCGTTTCCAATTCTGGATTTCTCTCCATATTTCTGCTTCAATGGGAGGGTCTTTGCAGACTGACCAAGGAGCACATGATGGCAGTAGATGTGTAACCGGAGGTTGTGTTGGGCAATTAAACTGAAGAGCAAAGTGCTCTACCCAGCGATCCAAGCGTTTGCGTATGTTGGTGCTCTTTATGCCGTCTGACTCACTGATGGCCTGAACTCTGCGTTCGGTGGATCTGATGAGATAAAACTACCTGCGGTTGTTACCAGCAGAGGCAGCAGCCTCCATTTCCTTGGCCTGATTAGACCACCAGGATTTATGATCACGGCAAAGACCCGCTTTCAGTTGTCTGGAAATAGAACGCTGGAGTTCAGCTTGCTCCACACTGACGGGTATAATTCGCCGATAGTCGAGAAGTTCCGCGGGGGTGGCCGAGATCCAACTTTTAGCTGTACAACGAACAAGACCGCTGAAAACATAATCTGTTGTAATCAAGACCAATGCTTACCAACGTCCCGAGGAGGCGGAGAAGTGAGGTTCTCACGAAGCTGCTTTTGATATTTTAATTGCACGGCGGGGTCTTCCAGTTTACCAGTTAATTCGAATTTGTCTAGTCCTAGTCGAGCCACCGAAATGCATGCAAACGGACGCACGTACTAGCGCATGAGAAGTTTCCACGCATGTTGACCAATAGGATATGCAGTCCCGAATACTGCCACGCTAGCGATGACTTATGGCGATGTGGTCAATCTGTGACCAACCTTGAGGGGATAATGGAGCGTGCTAAGTAGCGTAGTGACGTCTAGGGTGGCGAAAGTTCGTGCTGGATAGGTAAACTTGGTGGACGGCACACAAACGGAGTAGTCTTTCACATTTGTCTGAGCGAAAGTTGTCATATCCATGCAAACATCCAAGATGGCATTCGTTTGGTAACAAACGATTAACAAGCGTGTTGAAATCCCCCGCCATAATAATGATGTCTCTTTTGGGGGTCCTTAAGAACAAATCATGAGGTTTCTGATTGAATTGGTTCTTGACGGTATTTGGGCTACAGTCAGTGGGAGCATAGGTGGAGATTACAAAAAGAGCACGTTTGTCTTCTTGACGTCTGTTCACCTTGCATGAGCCATGGAGCCTGACAGCACAAAGGCGACTGTTGATCGGAATCCATTCGTGAAGGGCGACTTCGGCTCTGTCACTAAGGCAATTTAACCAACCTGGTTATCGGTTTCTTTTTCGGACATTGAGCGCCCTTATCCCTGTGCCGTCTCCTTGGATCCGCCCTCACGAGCGGAAGTCGAACGTGAGATCAGGCTTTTGAAATTGCATAACGCCGCAGGAGCAGATAAAATTTCCCCAGTTTTCTTCAAATTCGGCGACCTGCTCTAGTAGATGATTTACACGAGTTGCTAATGAAACTTTGCGAGCTGGAAACTGTCCCGACAGGCTGGAGCCGCTCCGTTATTGTCGCAATTCTCAAGGGAGGCTCCAGTTCGGAATGCGGCATAGAGGGATCAGTCTGACCACAGTTGCCACTAAATTGTTTGCGTCTGTCATTTTCCATAGACTGACTGGCACTCGTGAAAGCCAGATACGTGAAGAGCAAGCCGGGTTTCCTCGAGATCGGGGCTGCCTCGACTACATCTTCACCTTGCGGCAATTGGAGCACCGCCATATTTGTTGGGGACCCACTGTTGTCGTCTTTCTGGACATCAAAGGTGCCTTCGATTCGGTGGATCGATGTGCCCTTTGGGCCTGTTTGCTGAGAAAACCTGTGCCCGATGAATATATAAACATTATCAAAGCGCTGTACGCGAATAGTTCGAGCAGAGTGACGGTTTATGGCAAACTGTCGCCACCCTACACTATCACCAGCGATGTGGGACAAGGTTACCCGCTGTCACCTTTCCTCTTCAACTTCGCTATTGATGAAGTCATGGAAACAGCGGTCGCTGAACACGACCTAGAAAGTGTGGAGCTACTTCCTGGTGAGCGCCTTTTTGACTTGGAATATGCGAACGATATTGCCGTCTTATGTGACAGCGCCGAAACGTGCCACGCTGCACTGGCTGTCTATCCTTTTGGGCTATGCTTTGCTCCATTGAAATGCAAAGTACTTCTCCAACCCAACCCTGCGCTAACGCTTTGTGTTGATCTGATAGAAGTCGTTCAGGAATTCAAGTGCCTGGGCAGCGATATTAGCACGCGTGGGATTGAAGATGAGGTTACAAACTGCATAGCAGAAGCTCGAGGTGCTTTAGCCAATCTTCGCCACCTGTGGCACAGATGCGACATCACTCTCGCCTGAAGGACAGAGTTTACAACGCAGCCGTCCGTTCAACTCTCCTATAGGGTTGTGAAACCTGGCCCATCAGGTCGACAGACATAAAGAGGCTCGTCATATTCGATCATCGCTGCCTTCGCAGCTTAGCTCATGTCAGGTAGGAGCACCTTGTGAACAATGAGCGTGTTCGACTTCGCTTATTTGGTGCAGGAAGAAGTGAACAGCTCAGCACCATTATATCACGCATCAGGCTCCGATGGTTGGGCCACGTGTTGCGCATGCCAGCAAACCGACTTCCGCGACGTGCATTGTTTGCGCGTTGTGTGTGCGGTTGGAAGAGGAGAAGGGGAGACCAAGCGATGACTTGGTCGAGAGAGATGAAAACCCTCACTTCGCAGTTGGGGTCGGTTGGTGCATTCCGACTGCCTGGCTGGTATCCTAAGGACGGTGAACACGTTTGGTTTGACATACTTGCTGATATGGTTAGGAGCCAGCCCCAATGGCGTTTGTGTTGCGAGTTCCTTTGTCCATCCGCCTCCTGCTTAGCATCCTCCTCCAATCACGGTCTCACTCGTTAGGCATTATATGGCTCACTTTTTACGGCACGATAGCCAGCTGTTAGCTCTCCGGAACGATGTGCATCGGTTACTGGGGACTCAGCCGGCGTGCCACTGTTTGTTTTCCTTTTCTTGTCTTTTGTATTGCAGCACAATAGCTGAGGTGTTTTCCACCTTCAGCTAACGTGTATAATAAATGAAGGATAACACATAGATCCTTCAAATTCCGTGGTATCCAAAGGCAGGTACAACAATCTTAAAAAAGAAAGCCTAAATCATTGCATGACCAGCCATAGTTCCTTCGTTTGGCTTGGTACTACTCATTTGCCCAAACTCACTTAGTCAGTTGACTTAGAGGACACCACCACGTGTCTTTGGTTGAATAGCCAGGCAGCGGAGCTCAGTCATAGTTTCCCTCCCCTTAGGAGTCGGTGACTGCTCAAATGGTTGCCTCATGCTCCGTATGTTGTCATCTTCTATCCACCGATGTGCAATACCCCACTGGCTGGTGTAGTGTCTTCAGTTGGTGACGCCACGTAATGTTCTTAAACGGACACGTTTACCATCCGGAAACCCATGTCCCGAAACACTACCACCAAAGTATTTGCTAGAATGAGAGGAACCCGAAACACTCACCTGAGGTCACTTGGGTAGTTTGACAAGTCATCAGCTCACGATCTATCATTCGTTTCCAGTGGGTAGCGCCGGTGTGCATCAGCTTACATTCGCTCTACCAGATCACCCTTTGATTTTGAATCACATCTACTGAATTGGTCACTTTCTTTGCCTCCTCACCGAGCTTCTGCCTTTGTTTATTGTTGCCCATTCTGCAGCTGACTTGTTTAGGCAGCATTATGGGTAGTCCATGGGATGTTGCAAGGTATGATGCTATTGATATGTACACTGGCTCATAGCTGCTCGTTCTGCCTTCATAGAAATGACTGTCTTTGTCCAGCACATCACTATCTAAACATTTTACCGAACGTGACAACTTTAAGAATTCGAAAGCATTCTTGATTCCATCGTGTTGACTTTCCAACCATTTTGGCAATTTATCCAACTTTAGATTCTCAGTTTCCTTTACATCGTTCTTTGATTCTCTTGTTATTTTTTGATCATTGTATACAGTGAATGCACATCGTAGCGCAACTTCTTCCACCTTTGGGGACTCAGTTTTTAAATTTTTGTGTATGTTGAGTTGTTGCTGCGTTATTTTATCGGTCCAGGCATGCCGGCACCCACAGTTGTTTTATCTTCTGTCTTTCCTCACTTCCTTGGTACTGTGTAAACATTTTCGAATACTGTACCATCATTTCTGACAACATGAAATAGGGGCCAGGAAAGCTCCAAAAGACGCTGATATCTTCCATCGGACACGTATTCATTAGAATATATTTTAGAAATTATCATGATCCTTGCTAGAAATTTCACCTCCACCCCACGGGATGGTCGTAGACCATCTGATACACCAACAACTTACTCCTATTTGACTACGCTAGAATTGCAGTTTATTGCAACTCGGGAGCTTCGGGACAAGAATTATGCATTGTTTGCCCGTATATGTTGAGAAAAATGTTCCCCAAATTCACGCTAATCCCGTCGACCATCATATGGGATAGACAGCTAACTGAAATCGGATTCTGTGATAGTGCGACAACATTATGTGAGGCACTTTGGGGTTACGGGTTTTCGATGTTGCCCGCACCAACACTTGCACTCTACGATTTGTTTCGTCCATGTTTGGGCCTTTCAGACGGAAGTTGCTGTAGCTGGGTGTGGAACCCGAGACGTAGTGCCTTCCACTGCGCCCCAGAATGGACGAGTTCTCACATGAGGAGAATTAATGCTGATACCTTCCATCTGCAATCCATCGTATTTGGAAAAGTGCGACGCCTGGCAGCGCAGCAACGTGCCCATGCTAGCGTATGCTGCCTTATCCCCTGCGTGCTGCAGAATTGCCGTTACCGTGGTTATGTTGAGAATATACAGTGCACTTCCATTTTCAATCTTCAACATCTGTCTCGCAACGTTTTTCTAAACCACAGCCCGGTGAATCTCGTACTGTGTTTTGGTCATGTGTGAACAGTGATATTCACCCACCCGTATATCCTTCATACGGGAGCCTGATCGCACATGTACAAAAACATCTGTGCCAGTCATTAGCATTATCCAGATGGATTCTGCGTGACGTTACAGCTGTTTGTGCACCATTACATCACCTTAGAGTGACCATACAACTTTTGGTTCTTATATTTTCTGCTCTTTCCAAATGACATTCATGCCACTGCGTGTTCCGCGATAGTTTGCAGTCGTCTTCTGCAATCTTCTCTCTTTCCCCATCAAGCTGACCAATTTCATCTTACGCACATTGACGAGATTTTACATTATCTGAGATTATTCCGTATATCGTATCTGTGAATATGTGCTTAATCCATCTAGCACCTATATTTCATCCTGGTCTGAATTTGTATGCATTAACCTCACACGTTATACCTCTTGCCCCAATTGCATCACCCGTTTCCAGGTATCTGCTCCCCTATGCTTTTGTCTTTATCACGATCGAGTCGGATCGTTCGCATGTTGGATGTGGAACCAGCAAGCAGTGTCTGAGACACACACTTCCCCATCCCGTCCTGACTCAGACAATGTCCCCGGTGGACCCACAATAGGTGACAACATTGGTCTGTTCCCGGAAGCCACAATGGCTGCGTTTGCGCACATGAACGAGTACGTTCTTTTGTGTTATACCTCACACCTTATTTCTGCCACATGTGCATGCACCTACACGCAACGGATGTGGATATATGGTATTCATATTTCGGCCATGTCCAATGCTCGCAATTCACGCACTGGTACATGTGATCCTACATTCTCTTATCTACACTCTATCCTCTCTGTGTCTTTCATAGTGCTCTAATTCATAGTTCCGTGCCCCTGTTTGGTGACTTACCAAACGGAATCGGTCACCGGCTCCCAATGGACGCGATTCCCTGAATTCCTTCCGCTGCCTTGGGAGTAGGCAATCGGGCTAAAGGCTCTGGCTGCAGCCTCATAAGACAAATCCCTACTTCGGCTTGGGCAACCGGGTAGTGTCGTGCCCGCTGCGGAAGTCATGCGTCACACTACTACTTCGCCGCACGCTCTTGTTTCTCTCCCCGTTTTCTCTCACCAGTCTCCATCACACGCCGACCATTTCTCCGTTATTAATCAGTTTTACTCTCACTTTAATCCACACACCGGTTTTGATGCCACCCACAAACTGTAGCCTGAGGCTATCCTTCAACCCCGACTCTCGTTTCGGCTGGCAACCTTCAATGTTTGAACTCTCATTTTGATTGGATAACAAGCCGGTCCAACACGCACTCTGGACTCGCTCGCTATTGATGTATGCTGCCTTTCTGGAACTAGATTGCAAGACCCGAGCACTATGCTCAAGTTGACTTACCAGACGAACTAGGGAGCCACATACCATCTACGTCTTTCTGGCGACGCAGAAGCGGCTACAGCTAGTTTGACAGACGTTTGTGTGACATTAAACAGCCAAACCGAGGCCGCACTGCTGGAGTGAATCTCAGTGCAGTGTGACTTGCAAGTTCATGCAGAATCAACAGGCACCGCGCTGAATGTCGCAACCTGTTCGTAGTCTCCGTCTATGCGCCAATTGACTGTAGCTGCGGATCCATCAAGGACGACTTTTACTCCAAACTTTATCAGCGTTTATGCAAAGCCGCCAAATCGGATGTCGTCGTCCTCGCCGAGATTTTCAGTGCACGCGTCGGTCGCCTATTGTCAGGTGAATATCACTTAGGTGGACATCACGCACTGCACGAGAATCGCTCCGACAACGGGACCAGACTTCTTAATTTATGTGAAAACAATGTCTTATTTCCCTCAAGCACCAACTTCCGTCACTCGAGGAGGCGTTCTGTCACATCCTCGTTCATCAATGCAGGCCTTGTCTAAAATAGGTCACATTGCAGTCAGTTTCAAATGGCAAGATAGCATAAAGGACTGCAGATCATTTTGGTCTACTTACCTTGATTCTGATCACGCACTGGTTTGTGCGAACATTTGCGTGCGCTTTGGGGGTCCTCCCAAGCAGAAGCTTGGCACGAACAAGTTAGCAGCCGATCCGTCGACTCAGATGAGCTACCGATTTTCATTGGCAAACGCCTTAGTTTGTGCTCCTCCCACTGACGTCGATCTGCATTGGAACTTTTCGCAGAATACGATGTTATCTTCCGGTCGATCAGTCTGTGGATTCACTTATCGCCCCTCAAATAGTTGGATCTCCACGCACTCCCTGACATTGTTCGACCGCCGTCAAACTTTGCCTTTTAACTCCGATCACATTTTGGAGATGGAAACCGCCGCCCTCTCTGAAAATACTCGCAGGTTGTTTAAGCTCTTTCGGTCCGGCGGTCACAAAAGGTCTGGTATTAGCGAGGTTATCTGTGAGGCGGATGGGTCAAAAACCACCAACTCTCAGAGGCGCATAGACAGATGGCTGAGCATTTCCAATCTCAGTTCAGTTCTTACCCTCGTCCACTGTCTTACTTAGCTCGTCCCGTACTACGCCATGGGCTGCGTCACTCGAACCACCCACTGAAGCTGAAGTTCGCCTTGAGATTACACAATTGAAGTGCTTTAAGGCTGCCGGTTCAGACGCGCTTCATCCGGAACTGTTCAAATATGGTGGTACGAAAATTGTCACTCAGGTAACAGCCCTATTTATGAAGATCTAGAGTGAACAAAGAGCCCGCACTTCATGGGGAGAGTCAGCTTTTGTCCCAGTCTTCAAGAAAGGCTCCCAGACTTCATGTGCAAATCATAGTGGGATTGGTTTGGTATCAGTTGCCTTCAAGCTGCTGGTATCCATCATGTTGCCCAGGCTGTCGCCAACTCGCGACGCACACTATCGGGAGGAGCACACTGGTTTCCCCCTCGGTAGTAGTTGCGTGGATCATACTTTCACGTCTCGTCAGCTCCTTGAACATCGCCACATATACCGCAGACCCATCATCGTCGTCTTGCTGGACATTCGGGCTGCATTCGACTCTGTAGATCGACGTACCTTTTGGCATTACTTACTAAAGATTGGAGTCCTTGAAAAGTACGTCGCTGTTCATCGGACGTTATACCTCAACACCTCAGGCAGATTAAGGGCCTACAGCAAGCTCCCCGTATTCTTCCCTGTCACCAGTGGTCTGCTACAAGGATACCTTATGTGTTCATTTCTTTTTAACTTCGCACTCAAATATGTCCTGTTGGGAGCTCTGGAGGATTTTCATCGTTCTGGAATCGAGCTCCTTCCAGATAATCGTGCATCTGATTTAGAGTACTCTGATGTTATCGCCTTGCTTGGTGACGACCTTCATAGGATGCAACTTATCCTTGACTGACTGGCGATTGAAGCGTCCAAGTATGGTATGTGCTTTGCACCTTCAAAATGCAAAGTGCCAACACAGGATTTACAAACTTCCTCAGCTCACCATCGAAAACATTTGGCTTGAGCTGATGAATAGTTTTGTTCACCCTGGGAGCAGTATCTCTACCGACGGAACCGTTGGAGAAACAATGTCTCTCCGTATCGCCTAACCCCGTTCAGCATTTGCTGATTTGAAACACATGTGTCGTCGTCGTGACATCTCGCTTTTGCTAAAGGGTAGGGTTTACAATGCCTGTGTTCACACGATACGAAGTCTGGCCGATTCCAGTGGACGACATGCATAGGCTTTCGGCCTTTGACAACGGCTGTCTGCAGAGGATCGCCCGTTTATAGTAACAACACCGGCTATGCAATGATGATATCAGACAACGCGTCTTTGGCAAAACGAATCTCCTACTCCAAGGGCTTGTTCTGTTGCGCCAGTTGAGATGGCTTGGCCATTTCCTGGGCATACCTGATGATTGATTGCCACCCCACGCCCTATTTGTGCGTACAGGGCTGCATTAGTAAAGGCCGCGCGGTGACCAGCAGACCACCTAAGGTCAAAGCATCAAATCGCTCACATCCTGTCTATCAATTCCTGATCCGGTACGCCTTCCCGTTTGGGGACCGAAAGATGAAGAATGCCGATGGCTTACCACACTCGGAACAATGACACAAAAGCAGTTGCAATGCACTCCCGATTCCAAAAGTAATAACTCCATAAAAAGAAAAAAATGAAAATGCGGCATATAAAAAGACAAAAAAGTACTTATTGATTCTTCATCACCAGCCACAGCTCCATCCACACACCCCATATTCAGTGTAAACCCGAATGAATAGAACGGGAGACATGTGGATGGGAGCCACGTTTCATCAACGGAGCCGGCCCACACTCCTTCACAGGCAAATACAAGCACGCTGTATTTGGGAAACAATCGCACACGAGCGGTGGCTGGACCGTAGTCCGCTCCACACTGACTGCATGGAACCACTCTTCGAGCCTAGCACGACCACAAGGACCGTGCAACTCGTCCCCTCCAGCAACGACCAACTGTTTTCTGGAGCCAGTATGGACGAGGTAGTGGGTAATAGACAGGTAGGCACCTTGTCAACATGCACATGAAGCGCAACCACACCAGGGATGTCAAGCAACAGGCAATCACTTGAAATTGCGTTATCAAATACAATATGACCTAAAGCAAACGGCTATGCAGATATAACTTTTCCCTAAATTAGCGTATGGTGTGAGCTGGTTAGCAACGAATCCTTGATAAGTACAAAATGTCCAGAAGTTACTCAAAAATGCTACGAACACAATAAACTTAACGGAGGTAACCACAATTAAAGTAAGTAACGTGGCCAGTTAATAGAAGATTATTCAGGTAGGCAGAACAAACCAAGTAAAGTGAAATGAAATGTATCCAGCTTAAAAAACCCTGGTTTATGTATAACTTGGTTTAGCCCAACTGCGGTGAAGAGGCATCATAAATGCTGCACCAACCTCAGCATGTCGTATATATATATATATATATATATATATATATATATATATATATAATCATACTTATGCAGTCTCCATTCGAAGTTTAAGGAGCATTTTTAGCCCGGCCTTCGCCTTCGTGTTTCCGTCACTTATCTCTCCTGTTGTTTGGCCCGAAGAGTTGGTCAGTGGCCGAAGGGTTTACACTCCTCCATTTTTATCCTGTGGTCGCCGTTTCGAACCCGCGTAGGTGTGGACGATCTCGCGATACACTCAACCCTCTTGCAACTGGTGGCGGTCGCGTGGCTGCGAAGCGTCGGTACGGTGTGCTGTTGATGTTTGGTTTCAGAGTCTCCTCGCTATATTTGCCCTCTATCACATACGCATCAAAGCGCTTTCTGTGCATGAAAGACTGAGCACTATTCCTCCTGTTTCCTAACCTTTGTCTCTGCCTAATATCTTTGTACCATAACCGTCGACTCTTAACTTTATCTTCAGCTGCTACAAGCACAACTTCGAGGTTGCGAGCATACCAATCCACCGAGGTTTCCAATAACCGTGTCGCGATCTCTGTGATCATCTCAAACAAATCTACCGTTCACCAGTATGGATTAGCCCCTGCTTAGCATAGTCCGCTAATCTAAGCATTCGGCAACCCGAAGGTGACCGAGACATTTGCTTTGATGACTCTGTGTCTGGTAACCAGCCGAACTCAATCCAGTTAAAAGTAGTCTTGTGTATCTGAATCGATGCCTTGTCTGTATTACACACTATCATCCGCAAATGTGCTACAGTAGCGTTCTTAAACACTTGTAT